AAACATGAATATAATATAAAAGCTAAACGGCTGCAGCACAACGATTTTCATCCGTCCTCATCTGGGGAGATCGAAAAACGAATCTCTTCTTCATGTACTTTCATTCGAAATGAAGGTCCATCTAACAATGTTATCTCAGGGAATTTATCGAAACCAAGTTTCTCTTTGTAAAAATATAGACTAAGGAATATACCAAGTATATCAGTAATATATTCTTATTCATTTAAACAATCTGACAGGTGCATTTCGCTTAAAAAGAAATATAGATGTACAATTTGTAGGTTTCTCCCATTTAAATATTTTTTTCATGTGGTCGCAATAAAAAGACCATAGGATTTACTTTTTTGGGTATACCTTAAGGGGATCCATATACATATTTAATATGTCATCTGAGTTATTTTTTTAGCGTCCCACAATTTCAGCATTTTAGGTTGACTTTTAAGATCGCTAATTAGATATACGAAATTCTGCTTTAAATTATTTTCTAGGCTTATTTTTATAATTTGTTTCATTTATTTTGTTATGCTAAGACCTTTCTTCTAAGCGAGGCAAATTCTGATATTAATCTTATGTAAAACTGTAAGTCCATACAATAAGTCATATCCATAAGTACATTTTTTCTGTCATCTGGCAGTAAACAATGAAAGTCAATTATCTTATATTTAAATTTACTTGCTGTTCCATAATGCTTTACAATATTGGCAAAATCGTAACAATATAAACTTAAATAGACAGAAAATGAATCATGAAAATCTAATCGGGAAAAAGAATCAACAAGTATAAGCTTTCAACATCAATAATTATCCAGGCCAATAATGCTCCCATCGAGCAAAGGTGGGCGCCTAGCACACATGCAGGAATATACTTCAATTTTCTGTCTTTATTTAATTAAACGAGATAGAATGAGTACCATTTACAATAAAACTTCTGCTTTATTGTTGCTTTAAATTGTAATTCAACGTCATTATTAGGCAACGAGGGCAAGTAGTATCTAAAATCACACTAGAAATAACAAATAGAAACCATTTTAAAACTTTTTAGAAAGAAAACAAAAATACATCAAGAAAGACTTCTCATAGCATAGCATCTCAGCACATAACCACAAGGGAATATAGTTAAAGTTGGGACAAAGAATACGAATTTCCAGAAAAAATTATTTTGTCAGCAGATAATATAATTTTACTGAATGGCTAGAAGAAATGATAAAAGATGAAAAAATAAGCACTTAATTATTGCAAAATACTAAGCCCAGATAATTTATTTAATCTTCTTTGTCCTGGTCAACTTGTGAAATAAAAGACATTCATGAATGATTATTAAATTTGCGTTTTTGATGTACATACGCGGGAGTTTTAATACTCTGACCCTTCGATTATTCGGAGATCTAGAGAATAATATTAATAAAATAGTTAAAATGAGTTTAAATGAAACTAAAAGACCTACTTCTTACATGTTTCTGTACCGATAAAAGTTAAGATAACTAGACAATGTATTGAAATTCATATTTTTGCGTCAATCAAGACTATTATAAAGGCAAAATTTGAAGACAATGTTTGCTGGTAGGGGTTGAAGAATAGTTCTAAGCCATGGAACCTTCCTTCTATCTTCGTATCAGTTGAGTTTGTTTATAGTTTACTTAATTTAAAATAATTTATACTAAAACAAGAATTATAGTCTTTGCCAAATGCTACGCACTAGTGGTCAGATTTTAAGGTATTTCCAGTCAGTGAGTTGACCTCGTTATCGCAACTTTGTTTACTTAACAGGGCGACTTGGTTGGACGCACCTTGTCAGGCGTTTCGTCCGCATCGTATTTGGCACCATCATTAAGTCTTGTCATTCTCCTTCGAACGCTTCGGTAGAACTTCTACAATTCGAAAGAAGACTTTAACCATACTAAGGGCCACACCAGCTTGGTCTTCATATCTCATATTGTCAAATTTACCATCCTATTCAAAAATCCTACTCAAGCTAAAGTATATAATAAATTAAAAGTGTCTGCAAAGCTGATAAGGAGCCATAAAATGTGTCATATATTTGTTCCATACTATTTAGATTTTACAAGTCCAATGGCGGTTTTAGAATGAGCATTCAATAATTTGCAAGCCTATTTTTATGAATGTATAACATAGAAAATTCACCAAATATGAGAAAGTCTATACCTCGTGCTGGACAATTTTGGCAAGTATATACTTGCATGTATGCGACTACGTAGTTCCAGACTTGTAAACTTTCGGTTGAATTTTTCTCATTTACCTTAAGCCTCATAAGTTTTTGGTGCAAGACTCATGGGAGCATAGAAACACGGAAGTCGTGCCTACATTTAGAAATTAATATCGGCCAATCAGAAGCCAAGAGCTTTTATGCCATCTGTGCCAATCAGTACTGGCCTATTGATGAAATATGTTGAGGGCTCATAGGTTACAGCAACAGCATAACTCACCCAACCAAAAATCTAATTAGCCTTCCATTTTATTAGCCAGTCAATCATAAAGTCTAAAAACTCCCAGATCATCCATTCTCCGATTCGTTGTTCACTGAGAGCAATTTAATTCCCAGACTTAGCAAAGCACACAGCATAGTTCATTGTTGTGCACATTATCTGAAGACATATGCACACTTTAATTCATCCTGAGACTTACTTGTGTTATCATTAAGCCATCATTTTTATTAGTAACCACGGTGGAAGAAGTCAAGAAGCATAAACAAATCAACACTAGGATCAAAAAAAGCCCGATTTGAGTTGAATTATTCTCAAAATACCAGAAGAAGGAAGAGTTAATATTCACTAGGGGTCAAACAACAACGAAAACTCAAACAATAATATTTGATGCAACTTTAGGATGACAAGAGGATCACCATTCACCAGGGCTGGCCAAGAAAGGTCATCTGCTACTCTTCTTTATCTGTTACCTCTTTTTATCATCTATATCCTCCTGACGAGCTCGGAGTCCAATGCTTCTCCAGCAAACTATTTGAAGCAACATGGTCTGCCAATACAACAGAGCGCATGGCGACAGGAGAGCTTTACTAAGCCTCGAACTCGATTTCCAGACGACCGGACGAGCCTATTAAGCAGTGGTGGTACAGTGGTTCGTAATCATTCCAATTTAACTCGCGATGAAAAGAAGGTAAATGAAGAAGAATATGTTAATCAGGCGCGAATGGATGGAGAAGAAGAAATGAGGATGAATGGAATGGCGGAGGACGATATTGATACCAACAGATACATGGTCTACCCACCCACCAACCCCTTCTTCTCGTACAACGAGGAAGGCTTCTTAAATATTTTGGGCGACCAAGTTAATGATGAGGCTGATAGCGCAATCTTTGAGCTGTATCGCAAACGCCAATTCACGCCTAAACTAGCGACTTCCAACTTGTCTAGCTGTGGTCCAAATCCTCTTGACGCTTGGCTCAGCTTTATTTTGCCCAGAGAACTGAATTTTCCACTTACAGGACCTGTCCCTGCAGAAAGCGTTGGCAGCACAGGATTCGCAAATCTAGAGGAAACATTCATGAAACTGCAGAAGCTACTACAGCGGGTTTCTTACTTCTTCACAGTACTTGAGCTAACGAACCCAGGTGGCTACAATTTGATGATGCACGACCTGCACAATTGGAACACTTGTAGACTGGCTGAAAATCGCGCTTAAAAGGAATGACCATTCATGAAATGACGCCGTATGACTATATGCTCGGAACTATTGAATTATATTTGTTCATGCATCTAATTATTTGATTATTTGATGCATATATTATTTACCCGCTTGTTGATAGCTTTTAGATGGGCAGAAAATATGAAAAAATTCTGACAGAGCGAGGGCTGATGGGATCTTATTTTAACAACTAAGGCCACTGGTTCCCAAACCGTTCCTAGTCGCGGCGCCTTTTTTCAATTAAAATTTTTCCATGGCGCCTACCCTAAGTATGACTATTCGTAAGTAAGAGATGAAAATAAATAAAACTCGTGTATCTTCATTATTTATTTTTACTTTATTAACGTTAAATTAATATTTAATAATTAATGTGATGAATGAGTCTGCAAATCTTTGTGCATTTTCCAAAATTGAAGCTTCTACAATATTTCGCGGCGCCCCTGTAAACAGTTTGGGAATCGCTGAATTAGGCAGTTCAAATGATATGAGAGGATAATCCAACAATTCTTAGTAATTCTCCTTCTTTCTGATTCTACGCCTATTTGCCTCTTATTTTCAGCCATTCTCTTTGTCCCTGAGTCAATACATTTTTAGCTTAATCAAGCTATGAGAAACTAAGTTAACAAATAGCCTGAATGATGACTCCATGGAGGAGATTCCGATTTGGGCCGGTCAGTACAAATATCTATCTTTTGCAAACGCATGGATACATAAAATTTATGCATAAATAAGTTACTCTGATCTAAATATTAATTTTTTGCTAGCAGGGAAAATGACTCTTCCTGCATCATATATAAAGATTCTCAGAAGGTATATTTTGAAGCCTAAATACATATGTTTTTAATATAGTACTAATTGTTAAACGGTTTTAGTCCACTGCGAAAACCTCTACATATCATTGATAATTAAACTAATCAAGGAGACATATTAATTAACTTTGAATCCATAAAAATAATTTATCGATTTTATTAACTTTGGTAAGCTCAAATTTATCGTTGAGTTCAAATTTTATATTTAGAGCTCATCAAAATATGTGTTCTTTGATATTTTTGATAGCAAGTTATTAAGCTTGATTTCCCTCAGGCGCCATTTATGCTGCTTAAACTTTTTCTTAAGGCAGATTGGGATTCCTATATAATAATAAAATAATATTTGGCCATTTTTTAGTCAAATCTGGCGAAAAGGGCAATTCACCATTAAAAAATACGTAGCAAGAAAAGAGTTAACAGGGAAAATTCCCCCAGATCTTAGAAGTATAAATCCTCAAGGGGTTAAAGCTTCCTGTGAAAGTTTTCCGCATTCGTTACATCACAGGAAAATTGAGTCGAGTTTAAATGTGTGTATGACAAGGTACGCAATGCAGCTTTAAAATATTAACCAGAGATTTACAATGTACTTGTATTGTGAATATATAATAAGTATTAATTTAGTTTTAGAGCCAAATGTAATTTGTCAATTCTTTAGTACTACTGTATATATCATCCAGTATGCTGTGAAATACAGAAAGAACGTGACATTTTCCTAAATTCGAGGTCCGATTTTGCTACCGTCATAATTTTAGTCTTTTTTTAGTACTGTCAAATAATACTAATACTATATCATTATTATTGATTAGTAATGTAAGGACTAAATTTTAAATTTGCTCTTGTAACATTTTTTAAATAATATAAAGATCCCTGCCAAAAAGTTCCATTGCCATCCTCGATCCCTTAGTAAACGTAAAAGATTTGTAAGAAAGACATTTGCGAGGAAGAATGGCTTTCTTAAAATTATTTCGTCTTAGAACAAAATTAAGAAAATAGGGCCATTGATGAATGATTCATCATGAGCAAAACTGGAATAATGCTACCTCAAATATTGCTTTGAACACATTAATAGTTTTTTAAATGACCAAAATAGCAATTCAACTACCTTGATTTAGTCAATTTCAAGCCTGAACAATAAATAAATA